GCAGGAGCCTGGTATCTGTATTTTTTAAAACTTAAATGACTCTAGTGTAGGTCAGATTGATTGTAGGTCTTATTCCAAAGAAGTCGGAATAAGAAGAATATGAGGAAGGTTAATGTTTTCAGATTCTCCATACTAGAGAAAATTTAAATTCTGCCTACCTTCCACAAAACACCTAGAGTAGGAATAAACTTGTATTAGTTCTCAAAAAGGTAAAAAATAAAAACAAACAAACAAAAATCCTTAAACCTCTTACAAGTACATGCACATATACATATACAACTTAGATCAATAAAATCTAACTTCTGATAAAGTTGGAGTGGTGGAATTATGGGCAATTTTCACTTATTTGTACTTTTCTGGATTATCTAGTTTTTAAAATGAAAACATTTCACTTTTATGATCTGGAAAACAATTCTGTAAAGCCACCATACAAACTATTCCAGGATACCAGAACTAGAGGCTAACTGGGACGGTGAAGTTTATGGTGTGAACGGTGAACTCCTGGAATTGCACCACACTGAGGCCCTTTTACTGTAACATGTGAGATCTTAGAGCTGATTAAATAAATCAGTAGAATTCAGCCTTAAACCCTAAGCTACTATTCAACCTCTTCATTAAAGTCATTTCTGATGCCACCAACTGGTAATAATGATTGCCTTTTCCTCTAATTCCTAGACAATTCACACTTCATTTTACATGAGTTCATAAAAGAGAAAGTCAGAATCTTCTGCCCTTGATTCAAAATGCCTGGAAGGTGATTGACATAGGAGAAAGACATTTTCTTTAAGTACTAGAAAATTTCACCTATCTCTCCACCAAGATTCTTGACACACACCATATTTGACACAACAAAATAAAAGTAAAAAAGTACTTTGATAATAAACATAATCCATCATATACAACTGCATAAGTCAAATGCTGGTTTTAAAAACAGAGGTAAAACTGCCTGATTTTGTGAAATGAAAATGACATACACAACTTTTGAGGTCAGACAATATTCTAGCAAAAGTTATGAGGCTTTCCAACACAGCAACAACTTGGTGAGGGAGAAAAGAAAAGGCAGGTGCCCATGATTCGTGTTCTAGAAGTAAGTGTATTTCACATATCAGTGTTTAAGAGGCCACTAGTGTTGTTGAGAAAGGCACCTTAAAAAGAAAAATCATATGGAAGATAGTAAAGACTATTCATTAATCTCTGATACAGTGCTTCCTACAAAGAAATATGCAGTTAAAGTAAGCATCAAAAGAAATATTTTTCAAAGCAGTTGTTAAGAAAGTCATCATATGACCCTTGGTATTCATTCAACAAATATTTTCTGAGCACCTCTTATGTGCAAAGCAAGCTGCTAAGCATTACAGAGACTAATGTAAATAAAAGACTATGTCCTTATACCCTCACATAGCTTCTAGCCCAGTAGGTACCCAAAAAAGATCTGACACTTTTGGCCTCAGAATGCTTCTCAATGCCACAGTTCTGATTAAAATTTCCTTAACATCCAAACATACTACAGTTAAAAAAAAAAGTTACAGTTTACTATGATACTATATTAAATCCATTTTATGTGGTTAATTACTATATTCTTATTTGGCATACAAATTTTAGAAAGCTTAACAGAGTAAATACATAATTAATTATACTGATTGTCTATACTGAGTATGGTACTTTCCACACATAATCAGGCATTATGTCTGGATAAACCTGTAACCCAAAAATATACTTGTTTCTATAGTAGGAACAAATCAGATTTTTAAAAACCTAAAGTATTGTGAGTTTCAATACAGTTAAGTACTGAGTAGTACAGTAAAGTGTACTACATACACTTCTGAATACTGCACTGATTAACTACTTTAAGTAACTTTTGCCAAAGTTTAGGTGACTCTAAAGGTTGAAAATCCAAAAGAATGATATGCTATTTACAAGTGAACCAAAAGAAAGTTTACATCTATAATCTCTAAAAGGCTAATGAGGAGTTAGTTCTACCTGTTTAACCGCTTTCTAACACACACCCAAATAATGACCATAAATCTCACTGGTGAAGCTTTCTTCTACATAGCAAAGAGAATGAGAAAATGTTCAGAAGTGAGAACCAATCTAAGCTACAAATTTCACCATACCAACTACAAGCAAATAGATTTTTACAAATATGTCAGTCATAAATATTTGGACTCACTATAACATTATCAACATTTGTTATAAGTTCATGAGTTTATGCTTCTAATAACAGTATTTTTAAAATATTCCACAAAATACGAAAGAATGCAGATTCCTTTTCCTTTAATCTGTCAAAACACAGTCATTTTAACACGAAAAATTTTCTTAAGAAACAGGGACTCTGCACTTGTAAGAGAACAAGCTTAATATTTCACCTAAGAAATGTTAAGACCCAAGAAGCTTCTCTCGCCTTATCATTCAACACCATTTAACTTTTACTTGCTACATTAAGCCACATCATCATAAGAATTATTTATTTTGTCTAACAAGCTATTAAATGTTTTATCTTGCTCTTGTCTACATGACTGCCTCTAAGTAAACCCTTTCTTTATTCTTTTCCTATTTTAGTATGCTCAGTTGAAGAAATCTATACTAACTGAGGAACTATGAGCTTTCCTGTTCCTTTCTTATATATCTATTTTAGCTCAACAGAAAGAATTTTTCTTCTGGCTCCTGGTTACATATAATTATTAAAGAATAATATAATATATTATATTATATATATATTATATATTATATTAATATTATATATATTATATATATTATATATATTATATAATTATTCAGAATTAAGAGACACTTACAGATAGTCTAGTAAATTTTCCACTTTTATAAAAAAGAAGTAGACCCACTGAAAGAATAGTAGTATGATCAAGATAAAATTATTTTCAAGACAGATACTAAGTGAAATAAGATGTGGCAAAAAGAACCTTATTTTAGAATAATATTTCATTTTAAAAATCTGTTAATTACTGATATATTTAAAGTTTTCCTATTCAAATTTGATGCCTAAAAGTTCTTTCTAAACTTAAAATTTAAAAGAATCTTATTTACAAGCATCTTAACTGTAAATTAATTCAAACCAAGTTCTTAGTTGGGGGTTTACATTATATTCTTTGTAATTCATAGGATTTTGAGAACAATGATAAATGGAACTCAAGGAGACAAGAGCTATTTATCACACATGTTTCAGAATGAGTCTGATGAAGTACTCAGTTGTAGTCTGCTACAGACAAATAATTAATATTGCAACTCCTAACTAAATACCACAAGATACCTTAACATCAGGATTATGGAAAAATTAAAATTCAAGTATCCTTATAATCTATACAAGAGGGAAAAATTAACATAGACACAAACACATATATACATATGTACATATGCATACTGAAAAACTTCCTAAAATGGTATATTGCTGAATTTATTTCTAACAGTAAGATGAAGTTCTTAATGACTGAAAAAGAAAGGGATACACACAGAAATTAAAAGTAGGTGAAAATAAATGAGATTTACTTTACATGTACATGCTAAGTCATTAATCAACTTGAATAACTTGGGACCATAGTGAACATATAACATCAAACTACCACAATGTGCTAAATAAGTTACATGAATTAAAATCTTTATAAGAAATCACTATAACAAACAGGGTTAATACCTGATGTACTTATTCCTGAATTTTTTTATGCTTCCTCATTTTGAAATTGCCTCTGGGTTTGTCAGCAGAGGCTTCTCAACATGCTTCTCTAACCACTGGGAAATGTATCTCTCAAAGTGATACAATGAGCAAGAATTAATTGAAAGCCACATATCTTCAAGGTAACTTTGTAATTCCTTTAAACTCCTTTTCCACCAGTCATTCCCATCCTATCCTGGAAATCCTTCTTAGCCCTTTTTAATTTCCTTTGGCACAAATAGAAGACTCTTGCAAAGGTAGGAAAACTCACATAGAAAGATACCATCAAGATGTCCCTGGTCCTGATACTCATACAGATTGCTTAAGCTCAAACTTGACTATTCCCTTCTTTTCAAAGTTATTCCATTCAACCATTTTACTGTAGTTGCAATCAATCTGTTCTACAGCAGAGAGTAGCAAATCGATCACTTGAAGCAGTAAAGAGTGTTAGGTTTTTAAAATGATGTAGCTGCATGGAAATTGTAGGTAGGTACCAGGATTCAGATACCTACATGATGCCCACCCTCTTACACTGTCCTTATGGGACAAAGGGGAGAAATCCGTAGTTATTCCAATAAGGATTTCACCAACTAGAAACTTTTAAACATACCTAAGCCCCACTTACGGTGTTAAAATGTTAATTTAAAACAAACTTTACCTATTCACTAAATCACCATACCCCAGAAATATGAATATATATATGGCCTAGTTTAAAAGTTAGAAAATTAAAATCTTTAATATATTCCTGTAAGTTAAAACTTTTTTTTTAAGGCTAATTAGTCATGGATTTTGGATTCTTTTTCCCCTGCCTTGTTAGTATGACTGGTGAGGTCTTTTTGAGTTCTACTGAAAATTAGAACGTATAATGGCCTAAATGCAAATTAAGTTCACCAAGACAAACAAAATAGTAAACACAAAGGTTATAAAATTTTAATATACTAGAGAAAACAGCAAGGAGCCAAGGTGAAAGATTTGGTAGGAATTCCATCAATACTCTGCCAATTGTGGGGCAAGGTAGATATGTTTTAAACCATCATTTTATTCTTCAGGTCTTCACACTATGAAGGAAGAAACATTATGAAACTTGATTTTGTAATTTATTCGGAAGCAATAAAGAACTGGTCTCACTTTCAGGACAACTTCAGCCAAATCTTAAGGGCTACTAGTCACCCAAAGCCTGGCAACAGTACTTTTCTTCCTTGACCCAACAAGGCAGAGTGCCAGAGGGAAATAGCAAAGAGTAGCACTATATAAACAGGGCAAGTGGCATAAGAGCAGAGGCAAGTTATATAACCAAAATATATTTTAAAATATGTTTATAACTCGTAACAACCTTTGCCTTTGGTTGGTTTCTTGTTTGGAGTATCAGTTGAAACAGTTAATTCAATATTATCTGGATCGCCTCCTTCCTCTTCAATAGCCTACATTAGAAAGAGAAGTTAATATGCTACACAGTCTATCTAAACTTATTTTATAAAAACGAAATGAAAAAAAAAAAAGCAAACCTCAAGCCTCAAGACATTAGGATTGCCAGTAATTTCATAAACCAACTTCACAAAGGAGCAATTAAACTACACAAGTGAGAGAAACTTTCAGGAGGAAATATCATTAGGTAGAAAAATCACATGGAGCTTTACACTTTACCTAGTCGAGAAAATTAACTATCACATATTATCATACTGAACAAAACTCTAAATATTCTCAATTGCAGAAAAGTTGCTAGCTACTAAAGAGCTAAAAGAAGCTTCCCTAATGTCCATTATGCAAACTTAGTTCTCCTCTACTATAATTCCAACGCTCACTCAAACCAGAAAGATAATCAGGGAAGAAAAAGCAAATCATTGTGCTAATGCAAAAACTGAAAACCCAGCGGACAAACCTTTCTCTTACCCACCCATCAAATCCCACTGCCAATCCCCCGCTAGTATGGGGAGAAAACGGTTGGGCACAATTAAACGGTAACTTTGCAGAAGTCACCAAAGTAACCAGTCCCTACGAGGCCAAGAAATGCACGCGCTCACCATCGCTAAAGACTGGGGACCGAGCGCCTCCCGGGTCTCCACGATCGCCCTTGGGAGGCCGCGCCGGCCGGCCGCAGCCCTCGGCAGCCTGGCGGGGACGTCCCGGGGGAGGCAGGGGCGCGCTCGGCTACGGCGGCCAGTCCCGGGCGGCTCGCGGGCCCCTGGCAGGCCCGGCCCGGCGCGCGGGGGCGGGGGTGCTGCGGGAGGGTCCTCACTCTCCCCGCGCGCGCGCGGGCGACGCCCGGGACCTCCCCACCGCACCGCACCGTGGGCCCCTGAGGCTGAGAACGGCCAGGGTCTGCGACGGTAGTGGAGGCTCCGAGGCGCGGCCTAAGCTCGCCTTCCCGGACCTCGCCGGGCCTCACCTGCTTGAGTCGGGAAACGAGTACGGTCTTGACTCCGGTGATATCCAGGTTCCGCCGTTTCAGCTCGGACTTGAGATCGATGACCCGCAGATCGGTGATCTTTTTACCTTCTGCCTGACCTGAGGCGGCCGAGGCTGCCACAGCACCGGTAGCGGCAGCCATTTTAGAAGAGCGGCGCGCTGCCAAGGCAGCGAGTGAGCTGCAGGGCGGCGGCAGCGGCTCCAACTTCGACCCAGGCCTCGCCGGCCGCCGGCGCCGCGCAGCGCTGCGCACAATGAGCCGCAGGCCCCGCCCCCTGTTCGCCACCCCGGCGCAACCTGCAGCCGCCACCAGCACCCGGATGACAGGCGCGCGTGCGCACTAGCGGGGTGGGTAGGGGAAGGCGCGCGGTGTGCGCCGCGGAGCGGATCGCGGCCACCTGGGCGGTGCGACCCCTTGCTAGACTGGGAGATCCAGCGCGTTCAACCGCACCAACGTCTGCCGTGCCGCCGTTCCTCCGCCGCTTCGTTACACATTTTCTGGCAACGTCTCGAGTCTTGAGCAATAGCAGTGCGCCAGGCACTCTCGTCATAGATAGTTCGCGCGTTACTCCACCCGAACCAAGGGGCGTGTGCTTGCGCTAAACCTTTTCCAGGGAGATACTTTACCGGTTCTGCTGAATAATCGGAAAAAATGTGACCACCGTGAGCAAAAGAACTAGGTTCCCAGAGTTCCGTTCAAAGGCAGGAAAGAAACTCTAGGGCGGTTAATGTAAAGAATATATAGGGCTGGCCTGTGTGACAAGTCCCACTAGACGTCTCATGGGAAAATATGCCCTTTTTTTTGCCAGGGAGGTTTAGTTTATTCTAGGGCTGCCCACCTCACTGAAAACACAAAACAAAACAGGACACCTTCCCATCTGCACTGGCCTTAGTTTGTTGTCATCCTCAGAGGTCCTGACGGCTCAACACAAAATTGATTACTGAAAAAGGAATTTGGTTTGTAAGTACCTGTTACCATTCTCGTATACCGTGTTCACTGTTTTCTCCCCGTCATAATTTGGGCTGCCAGGAACAATGACCATCTTCTTATGAGGGACTACGCTGTACAAGTAACTTTAGCCAATATGATTAATCATCAAATCAAAAGCATTTATGGATTGAAACTATAAACTCCATAAACAGAATATGATGCTTAGTTCTTAATTCTTGGCATTTCCTGGTTTTAAAAATTCAAATTGAAGAAGTCTGGGTCGCTTTAGATTGCCTTTTCTCATTAGCTGATTAGAGCAAAAAGAGAAAAACTGGACATTATACAATAATACCTGTCAGGCAAGTATTTATGGTTTATATGACTTGCAATAACCCCTTAATCTTTCTGAACCATGTCAGGAAAATCTCTGTAAGGCTTAGAGATTAAATGGTTTGTCCATTTTCACATAGCTGGTATGTGGCCAAACTGGTGCTGAAATCCAGTCTCCTGATTCAAAAATCCACCTCTGTCTCTATTACAAGTTGATTCACAGTCATAGAATATTAGTATTCAAAGGATCTTTAGGAATCTTTTGGCTCAATCCTCTCTCTTTCTCTCTTTTTAATAGATGAAGTTTTTTGGAGTTTAACATAAGGACCTACAATTAATTACTGACGGAATTGGCTCTAAACCTCAGTTCTCATGCCAGTGTCTTTTCCACTCACCACACTGCTCTCACCTTCTGTGGACACTTGTAAAGGGGGGTTATATTTGTGGTTGTTCAGTCGCTCAGTTGTGTTCCACTCTGGGACCCCATGGACTATAGCACACCTAGGCTTCGCTGTCCTTCTCTGTCTCCTGGAGTTTGCTCGAGCTCATGTGAGTTGATGACACCATCCAACCATCTCATTCTCTGGCACCCTCTTCTCATGTCCTCAGTCTTTCCCAGCATCAAGGTCTTTTCCAATAAGTCTGCTCTTGGCATCCGGTGGCCAAAGTATTGGAGCTTCAGCTTTAGCATCCATCCTTCCAATGACTATTCGGGGTTGATTTCCTTTAGGATTGACTGGTTTGATCTCCTAGCAGTCCAAGGGACTCTCAAGAGTCTTCTCCAACGCCACGGTTCAAAAGCATCAATTCTTTGGTGCTCAGCTTTCTTTATAGTCTAACTGTCACATCCATACATGACTACTGGAAAAACCATAGCTTTGACTAGACAAACTTTTGTCTGCAAAGTGATATTTCAGGTTTTTAATATACTCTCTAGGCTATTTTTAGCCCAAAGATCATGTTATCTGTTGAATAAATGAGTTTTTGTCTTTTAAAAAATCTGATAGTGGAGTTATCTTAAAATGGAGACCTGTACTTTCTGATCTGAATCACTAGAGGACACATCACCTGCCAAATTGTCAAGAATGTTTAACTTCACATGAGAAAGCAATCAGACAATCTGGCAGTAGAACATTGCACAAAATAACTGTTCTGGATTCTTAAACAAAGCAGTGCAGTTGTCTGTTGGTATCAGTGGGGGATTGGCTCCAGGAACTCCTCAGATACTCAAATCTGCAGATGCTCAAATCCTTTATATAAAATGGTGTCATGTTGGGCTTAGTCATGTCTGACTCTTTGTGACCCCATGGACTGTAGCCTGCCAGGGTCCTCTGTCCATGGGGATTCTCCAGGCAAGAATACTGGAGTGGGTTGCCATTCACTTCTCCAGAGGATCTTCCCAACCCAGGGATCGAACCCAGGTCTCCCACATTGCAAGCAGAGTCTTTACTATCTGAGCCACGAGGGAAGCCCAAGCATACTGGAGTGGGTAGCCTATCCCTTCACCGGAGGATCTTCCCAACCCAGGAATTGAACCCATGTTGCCTGCATCTGAAGCGGATTCTTTACCATTAGAGTTGTATTTGCATATTTGCACTTTCTAGGTGACTCAGTGGTAAAAAAATCTGCCTGCCAATACAGGCAGGAGGAGCCACAGGAGACATCAGTTTGATCCCTAGGTAGAGAAAATCCCCTCAAGCAGGGAATGGCTATCCACCCCAGTATTCTTGCCTGGGAAATCCCATGGAAAGAGGAGTCTGGCAGGTTACAGTCCATGGGGTCACAAAGAGTTGGGCTCAACACACACACATTTGCATATAACCTGTGCACATCCTCCTGCATATCTTACATCATCTCTAGATTACTTATAATATCTACTACATGCAAATGATGTATACATAATTTTAATTACAATGTGAATACTATATAAAGAGTTACCAGTGCATGTAAAATTCAGGTTTTGCATTTCAGAAATTTCTGGAATTTGGGGGGGAATATTTTTGATCCAGCATTGGTTGAATCCATGGCTATGGAGGTCCTGACTGTATCATGAAAGTAAAAATAGTAGGGCACTTCTTGAATAAAGATGGCTAAAGAAATATGGTAACTAAATTTTGTCTATCACTGTTGTTTGGATCCTGGATCAAAGACTGAAAAAGCTGCTAAATGCACAACTGGGAAATTTGGTTTTGTGTTAGATTGTGTTATGGTATCAATGTTAAATATCTGGAGTGTTATATCATGGTTATTTTTTAGAATGTCCAAGTTCTAAAAAAAAAAAAAAAAGAATGTCTAAGTTCTTAGGAGCTATTTGCTAAAGTTCTTAGAAGTGTAGTTCTGTCTGCAATTTATTTTCAAATGGAAAAGGAGGAGTGCAGTGTGAGAGAGAAAAAGAGAGAGAACATACAAATAAGTTACAATAACTGTGGCAAGATGTTAATAATTGGGGAGATGAATGTGACAAAATTAGGCAAAATTAACAATTAGGAAATTTAGATGCAGGGTATAAGGTTGTTCACTGTGTACTGTTTATATTTTTTTTTTACAAGTTTGAAGTAATTCAAATTAAGTTGGGGGGAACCCATGTTGTTGTTATTCAGTCGCTAAGTCACGTCCAACTCTTTGTGACTCCATGGACTGCATGCAGCGCACCAGGCCACTATCTCCAGGAGTTTGCTCAGATTCATGTCCCGTTGATTTGGTGATGCTAACTAACCATCTCATCCTCTGTTGCCCCTTCTCCTCTTTCCCTCACTCTTTCCCAGCATCAGGGTCCTTTTCAATTAGTTCACTCTTCACATCAGGTGGCCACAGTCTTGGAGCTTCAGCTTCAGCATCACTCCTTCCAATGATTATTCAGGGTTGATTTCCTTTAGGATTGACTGGTTTGATCTCCTTGCTGTCCAAGGGACTCTCAAGAGTCTTCTCCAGGACCACAATTCAAAAGCATCCATTCTTTGACATTCAGCCTTTTAAGGCATAATCTTTTATTGATTATGTCTTTTTAAAGACATAATCTATTGTGAAAACACATGTTAAATTGCAAATGTAGCTAGGGGGATGAAAGAGAAATATACAGTGTTCTGAGAGCCGATGATAGAATGATCCTTATATTATGCAAGAGGAACCTGAGATTCAAATATGTTAATAAGGGACTTCTCTGTTGGTCCAGTAGTTAAAACTCCAGCTTCCAATGCAGCAGGCCTGGGTTTGTTCCCTGGTCAGGGATCTAAGATCCCACCTGCTGCACAGTCGAAAAAAAAATTAAAAAAAAAAGTTTTTAATTAAAACAAAAATGTCAATAAGTAGTCTAAAACATAGAGTTAGTAAATAGAAAATCTAGGATGATTCCAAACCTATTGCAATTTTTTCTGTAACATCTTGTTTTCCATCCAAGTTTATCTGCATTCCCTGAAAAGAGTTTTTTCCTTCCTCCTAATGCTTAGCCCCAATTTATACTGTTCACTCTTTTTTATTTTTGAGACATCTTACTCTCTGTTTACCATCTTCCTGCCCATAGTCAATTGTTCCTTACTCCTACTTTCAGGTAGGCCTTAGTGGTGGTGGTTTAGTTGCTAAGTCATGCCCAAGTCTTCTTGACATCATGGACTGTCTCCTACCAGGCTCCTCTTGGGATGTCCCAGGCCAAGAATACTGGAGTTGGGCTGCCATTTCCTTCTCCAAGGCATCTCCCAACCCAGGGATTGAACCTGGGTCTCCTGCATTGCAGGCAGATTCTTCACTAACTGAGACCAGGAAAGCCCTCGGGTGGGCCTTAAAACCTTTTATATCATGAAATGTCCTTGCTTGACCTCCATATTTACTGCTGGCAATAGTTGTGTCATTGTATCCTTCTCCTAATTCAGGTAGTGACAGAGGAG